CGCCCTCTCGTCAGCAGCAGTGGCTATTAATTCCCTACTTCGTTCTTACGGCTTATCAGACCCTTGGCGTGCAACAAACCCATCTACGAAGCAATTTTCCTTTTTTTCCCCTGTACATCATAGTTACTCCAGGATTGATTACTTCATTGTCGATAACCAGCTACTTCCCTTAATTTCCAGCACCAAATACCACAGTATAGTGTTGTCAGATCATAGCCCTGTGCAGATGGGTCTGGTTTTTCCAGGTAATGTAGCGCCCCAACGAACGTGGCGGCTAGACCCCCTATTACTTTTATGTGAACGCTTTAAAACGTTTCTCAGCAATCAGATTGACTTCTTTCTAGAAATTAATGACACTCAGGATGTGTCGAGGGGAGTCTTGTGGGAGTCTATGAAAGCCTATATTAGGGGCCAAGTTATTTCTTATGTGGCACACAGAGACAAGGAGCGCTCTAAACAACTTAAAGAACTGGCTGACAAGATTGCGGATATGGATAGGCGTTACGCTCTTTCACCTACGCCAGATCTTTTTAAGGAGAAATTACTGTTGCAAACTGAATTTGACACGCTTATGACATGGAGAGCCGAAAGAAATATTTTTAAATCCAGGCAGGTATATTATGAGCATGGAGATAAAGCGGGGAGGCTCCTTGCACTTCAGCTCAAGCAGCGGTCAGCTGAGCGCGTGATTTCGGGAATTGAAATAGGTGCTGATTCGATATCTCACGACCCCCGAGTCATTAATGACCAGTTCAAATATTTCTACTCTACCCTATATCAATCAGAGGTGGGCAGTAATTCATCCGAGATCTACTCGTTTCTTGACTCGCTGGATCTTCCCAAGCTCTCTCCGGATGCTCAGTCGCCTTTGGAACAGCCGTTGTCGATTGAAGAGATAACGAACGCTATTAAATTATCTCAGACTGGAAGGTCGCCAGGTCCGGACGGTTTCCCCATGGAGTTTTACAAGGAATTCTCTTCGAAGCTCACACCTATTTTAGAATCAGTTTATGCTGAATCTTTTGCTACTGGCAATCTGCCGCAGACGCTTACCCAGGCCACGATCTCAGTCTTACTAAAGAAAGATAAAGATCCTGTACAGTGTAGCTCATACAGGCCAATAAGTCTTTTGTGCTGTGACTATAAGATTTTAACCAAAACTCTTGCACTACGGTTGGACCCTATTATTTCCACCATTATTAATGAGGACCAAACGGGCTTCATTCCCGGACGGCAGTCATTTTTTAATGTGAGACGACTGTTTAATGTGGTATTCTCCCCCCATTCGACAATACAACCGGAAGTTATTCTGAGCCTTGACGCTGAAAAGGCGTTTGATAGAATCGAATGGTCCTACCTTTTCACAGTTCTGGAGAAATTCGGCATGGGACCTACTTTTTGTAGATGGATTAAAGTCCTATATTCAACGCCTAGGGCTGCAGTCAGGACAAATGGTCTGATTTCGGAATATTTTTCGCTCTACAGGGGGACGAGGCAGGGCTGTTGCCTGTCACCCTTCCTGTTTGACATTGCGATCGAACCGCTGGCAATTGCTATCAGATCTGATGAGAGGATTAAAGGTATATCCAGGGGTGAGGTAACTCATAAAACTCTGCTTTATGCTGATGATCTCCTTTTGCAGATATCAGACCCAATTGGGAGTATGCCCCACCTTTTCCGCTGGCTGCGGGAGTTCAGCAACATATCGGGGTATAAGGTTAATTTATCAAAATCTTTACTGTTTCCATTGAACAATCTGGCAAAACAGACCACTTATGACGATTTGCCTTTTAAAATTGAAAATGACAAATTCACATATTTGGGACTGGAAATAGCTGGCTCGATTAAGACTATTTTCCAGTATAACTACAGGTCTATTCTGGACAGTACTAAATCTGATCTGGGTAGGTGGTCAAAACTTCCACTTTCGCTGGCAGGACAGATAAATGTGGTGAAGATGACTGTAATGCCCAGGTTTCTTTATCTATTCCAAATGATCCCCATCTTTCTCCCCAAATCCTATTTTGCCCAGCTGGATCGCTTTGTCTCTTTGTTCATATGGAACAAAAAACCTGCACGCATAAGGAGAGCAAGCCTGGAGAGAGCTAAAGCTGATGGTGGTTTGGGCTTGCCTAATTTCTTATTCTATTATTGGGCTGCTAACATTGTCAAGCTGACATATTGGATAACCATGTTTGCGGATGGGGAGGGTCCAGTCTGGGCAGATATGGAACTGAGAGCTACACTCCCAATCTCTCCGATTTCGATCTTAACTGCCCCTCTCCCACTGAATGTCAAAGCATCTGGGCTGAACTCCAATTTGGTGGTTCAAAATTCAATTAAGATCTGGGGTCAATTCAGGAAACATTTTAACTTGTCAAATACTTGTAGCTTTTCTCCGATAATGTTCAACCATCTTTTTACACCATCTCAAATAGATCATTCATTTGCAGTCTGGCACAGAAACGGTCTGGTTTTCTTTCAAGATCTCTTCACTGAGGATGGCTTTGTCTCATTTAAATATTTGTGTGAAGACCATAACTTACCAAAGTCTCATTACTTCAGATACCTTCAGGCTCGGAGTTTTGCCTCTAAATTTCTCCCAGGGTACCCGTCTCTGCCCTCTAAGGACCTACTGTATCTAGTTCTTAATGTGAGTCAGCCCACTAAAAGAGCAATATCGAAGATTTATGCATTGATTCTTGAAAGCTGCCCTCATACATGGGACAAACCTAAGGCGGCGTGGGAAGGGGAGGTTGGAGAACTCATGTCAGAAGACATCTGGAAGAAAGCCATACAGCGTATACATACGTCTTCTCTCTGTATTAGACATGGCCTGATTCAATTTAAGGTCGTCCACAGGCTCCACTATTCTAATGACAGACTGTCTAAACTGTACCCTGATGTTGCACCGAATTGTCCTAGATGTGATTACTCTCCTGTTTCTTTGGGGCACATGTTTTGGTCATGTCCCTCCCTGTATGGTTTCTGGACATCAATTTTTCAATCACTGTCAGCTATATCGGGTGAAACACTGCGGCCTGACTCTTTGATAGCTATCTTCGGTGTACCTCGGGAAGAGCTGAGACTCTCTCCCCTCCACAAAAACGCAATTGCCTTTGCCTCGTTGCATGCCCGCCGTCTGATACTGCTGAGCTGGAAGGCGTCGAACCCTCCTTCCTACGTCCATTGGATTAGAGAGGTGATGTTGGGATTAGCTCTGGAAAAAATTAGGTATACCGTGCGCGGCTTGGAGAGTAAATATGACAAAACCTGGTCACGGTTCATAACTCATGTCAAGAGTCTGTCTTTTGCCTGATTTATTGTTCTTTACTTGTTGGTAATTTATGCTCTTGCTCTCTTCTCGGACTGCTGTCCATAGTCTCCTCAATGCCCGTACTTTGACTGTTGGGATTTCTTTATTCCCTTTTTCTTCTTTGTTTCTTCTCTCATGTGCCGGGGTCCGGCTGTTGGTGCTATAATGACTGTCACAGATTGGTTTGAGTGTTTCTCCCCTTTTTTTTTTTTTTTTTTTTTTTGTGTTGTGTGTACTGTGCTTCCTGGTTGTGGGGATGCCACCTGGATGGGGGTGGGGGGTAGGGTTCGCAACTTTTGTAAGAAATTCTGGACTGTTTTGTTGGAAAACTATAAATAAAGTTGTAAAAAAACAAAAAAACAAAAACATGTTTGGTTCTTGAGGTTCTCCTGTATCCTGTTGAATCACCCAACCTCATATAATGCACTTGTTCCATAATATGGTGTTGGGACACAGTGACTTCTTTCATCCAAACTTGGGTTTGTGTCCAAACATCTGTCTGGAGACATCTTCCTCTCTACTTTAATGCCCAAACTCCTGAAGGCCATGAGAATGGACCATAAAACCCCTGCACCCAGCTTCCACCAGCAGACACCTGGCTCACCATCCTGTCTACTCACAGCTGGTGATCAGTCCAGTGTCCTTGGAGAGCTTTCTTTCAGCAGCTTTGCACAAGCTCCAGAAACACGGATTGCTCATCTGATTCAGACAGATGAAACCAGACAAAAACGTCTGGTTGCAGGGTGATCAGGGAACTTCAGCTGCTGTTCGAGGTTGACCGATACCTGCCAGGCTCTTGCTGAGGTCAGGATGCCTGCAGATGGTCATTTGTCACTGTTTGGATTGCTTGTGTTTTCTGATTGCTCCAGCGATGGTCCTCAGGACCTGATAGTCCCTTTGTTGTGTTGGGATGTGTGGGCATCTTGCTTTAGAACAATGAATCCCAGAAGTGTTGAAGAAAACATGTTGAAGAGAACAGATGTTCTGTTGCAAATTCAAACTGTGCCACATGTTTCTGAGGTTCATCAATGTTACTGTTCGGTAACATTGCAGGGCATCTATGAAGAACAGCAATCAGCAGCTTTACTGTGGACTGACAAACACCAGAGTCATTAAATCGTTCAACTTCTCTCTTTTTTTTTTTACGTAATATTTACAGTTAATCTTAAAAACAACCTACTCAAAGAGACCATCTGGCACTGTAAGTCATCTGGTTTGATGACAATAGGCGAAACCCTAACCCTGTACTTGGAGACACACAAAAAGTAGCAACAACAAATTACAAATTTGATAAAACATGGTTAGAGTCAGGATCATCACTGATAATAACCTAGTGCTCAGAGAGTTAATGTAGTGTGTTTTTTTATTATTTCAAATTGAATGTCCTGAACCAAAGAACCTGATTTAAAAAAAAAAAGAAGAATAAATTGCAACTGTCTAAATGCTGCACTCGCTCTGCTTAGACCTTTCACCTGTAAAACAGGCACTTTGTCTCTTCCTCAGCTGCCTGCTTTCTCTCTCTCTCTCTCTCTGGTATGATGAGTTGTCATGAGTAGCTTCAATGTGAAGTCAGATTTTTAAGGAGGAGAATGAGAGGAGTTAGAGGTGGAGTTCTTTTTTCTTGCCAGGGATAAAAGTTTTGAAGCAGCAGCGAGCTCCTCCAGACGGAAGCTGACACTGATACTACACTGACAATAACTCTATCAAGTCAGCCACGATATATTGCACTCAATGCAGCAGTAGCTGAGGATTTTTTCTCTTTGACGCAACACAAGTGATTTGCACATATTTTAATTTGGCCTCCTTATTGGTATTTTTTTTTACCACTTGTATGCACATTATTGTGACAGTATTAATGTTTTTTTATTCATTTGTGACTGAATTTCTTCAGTGACAATACACTAAAGGCTGAGAAGTAAGAAGCAGAGTGAACTAGAATACAACAGAGGCCAGTAAAATGCAGGATTATGAGGCATCCATCTCATTTCTTGGGACGTGGGGCCGGTTTCAGATGAAAGTCTTCTTTTTGCTGTGTGTCACCTGTCTTCCTGCCGGGTACAACATCCTGTCTGTCATCTTTCTGCTGGCTACCCCCCCACACCAGTGTTACATCCCAGCACACAGGAACCTGAGCCAGGACTGGATGCAGGCCAGCATCCCACTGCAGGTAAGAACTGAATGATTCTGGATGTAATTCACAGAGTAGTCAAAAACAATCACTCATTCACACACAATCTTTATAGTCATCTGTGTCATTTCTGTCAGTGCAGATGAATTTTACCTGTTTACACAGTTGTTGTGGGTCTGATGGTTGCTGCTAACAAACATGACAAAAGCCCTTTATTCTGCCCACTGCTCCTCTGCTGTTTGCAGCTGTAGTTGAATTACTTTGTTGTAATATAAGCGTGAGAGAGCCTCGCACTAAAACAGTCAGCTCACCTAAATCTGCAACAAGATATCCAAGTCATTTACCCCTGCTGGTCTCTTGCACTGCACAAGCTCATGACGGTTACTTTGTCAGTAACATGTTGTCCTCACGTTTGTTCATTTTTCTTCAACTCCCACACACATATCAGCACAGAGGAGGTAAAGTAACTATTGTTCGCAAAGCAGTGAAACTGATATTTAAGAAGCTACACATGCAAGATTTCGTTCTCAGCTGTTCTCAATGAAAACTGTTATCAGCAATGAGACAAGGGTGGACGGAGCGCTCAGATCTCTCACAGTAAAACAATGAAAAACTACAGCAGGGGCGTGTGGCTGCTGTTGCTGTTATGTCACACCAGACAATAATTGAAATTGTGCTGATGCATAAATGTAGAGGAAAGAAAATAATAACAATTTAACAATAAAAGTTTAAGCATTCACATTGTGTGTGTGTGTGTGTGTATATATATATATATACACACACAATGTGAAGGCAATGTGAAACTTTACTTTATATCGGTGCTCTGGATCCAGCTGTGATCCTCACTTTTGTCAGAACTGGTCTAACCTGAACTGATGTAGCCTGCTCTGGCACATGTCACCTCCCTGCTGCTGCAGTGCAAGTTGGCAATAACAAATATATTGTTTCCTGCTCAACAGGTGGCCGGGCAGCTGGAAAGAAGCAGTTGTAGCCGGTATGAGCTGGACCTGGTGCAAAACCTGTCTGAGCTGGGAATCAGACCCAACCTAGGCCAGATCTACAACTATTCTGCACTCGGAGCAAGCGCAGGGGTCATGCTGTCCAGCCTGAAGCAGGAGGAGTGCAAAGATGGATGGATCTACAGCACAGAGCACTACGAGTCGACTGTAGTCACTGAGGTACTGTTACTGTCTAAATGATATTGTTCAGATCCAAGTCTCCCTGGATCACAAAGGACTTCCTGGTTAAATTATATAGTGGCCTGCGAGCTTGCTGAGTCCCCTTCCAGTTGCAGGTTACATTCGCCTGTTTGCTTTATATTCCAGTGTACGCGTTCGATATTTTATGTTTTTATGCCTGCTTCAGAATATCTATTTTATTTATTTATTTAGGACAGTGCATGTTAATGAACATAAATGTAAAAAAAAAATGACATGAATGTAAACATGCCAGATTATAGCCAAAGGCTAATTTCCATCTGTTGTCCTTAAACATAAAAAAAAATAGACATAATAATTCATAAAAATTCATCATTCATTCATAATAAAAACTCCATCACCAAACTCACACATACACACCATTCTGTTCCCAAATAAAACATTAAAACTATACAACTCATACATGATCACACACTTGATTTGTCCATAACCCGTTTTTAACCTTTGCCTTAAACAAACTGAGTGTAGAGCATTCTCTAACTGGTTGAGGACGACTGTTCCACAGATGGCCACCCTTAACAGAGAGGACGTTCTGCCCAAATGCTGTCCGTCTGTAGGGTATAAACAAGTCTCCTCAGATTGTAGCTTGAGTGGTCCTGTCTGAGCTTTCTTTATGCCTAATGAACTGCTTTAGTGGTGGTGGAGCAAGGGAGTGTAAGACTTTATATATTAATTAAACACAATCTTTTAAGTTTCACTAAGTTATTGAAGTTCAGTAATTTATGTTTTTTTTTAACACATGACAGTGGTGGTGGGAAGTTGGTTTTTTGTCAAGTAGTTTTAAACTTTTTATAAATGTTTTCAATAGTTTTAAGTGTTGTTGGACAAGCAAGTGACCAGGACGTCAAACAATAGTCCATATGAGAGATGATCATTGAGTAAAAATAAGTTTTTGCAACATTCATATTTAAATTATTACGTATATGATTAAAATTTCCATTATTAAATTTAAGTACCTGGGACACTTTATTTATGTGACTCTTGAAGGATAATGTTGGGTCTAGAATGACCCCAGGATATCTATATGTTTTCCTTGTCTTCTAGTTTAACCTTGTGTGTGGCAACCGGTGGAAACAGCTACTGACCTCTCTCATCTACTTTCTGGGAGGACTTTGTGGCTGTTTCCTCTCTGGACAGCTATCTGACCGGTAAATTTACAGTTCAACAATTCTCTAAAGTTATAGTCTCTAAAGTTAGCATAAATGCAATGTTTTTCATTAAAACATGTCTGCTAGTTAGCTGTGAGCTAGCTCATGTAGCACTTGGTAAAGTGTAAAGCTAAAATATGTCCAAAACATTGCATAAATCTGTTGGTATTTGTGTTATTCAACTATATGTTTGGATTTTTGGCTGCTACATGTTTTTCCACCAGTAGGGGGCAGTCACGAAAAAAGAAAAACTATGTTCGAAAAAGGAAAAGAAGAAGAGTGTATTTTTGGGCTCTGTATGTGAAAGCCACGGTTCTGAAGTACCCAAATAAACTCGGTTCTGCTGTTTACACCAAGTTGTCCTGGAGTGGTGTAACATTTTGGAGGTTCCACCGAGATAGTTTTTGGGACTACTTCACACAGAGGAACACAGTAAAGGAGCGTGACAGAGCAAAGGAGCTAATGCTAACGAATTGCGACAGTCTAGCTAATGCCACGGAAACTGTGTTTTCTCCGGTCGGATACACTGAGAGAGTTTTACTCGTCTTAGTTATCTTTCAAGCATGTCTGTGAACCGTGAAGATTTTTTGTTGGAATTGGAGCAGAAGTTATGTGGACTTTCTTTGGAAGAACTGCTCAGAGTATGTGAACTATGTAATATTACAGAAAAGGGCAGCAAAGAAATACAAAGCAAATCTCGCAGAGCTCTCGTTAAGCTTATTAGCCAGTTTTGTGAACGAGAAGAGCTTTTACAGCGAGAGGATGAAGGCATGTCGGTGCTTCTGGAGCTAAATGATGTGCTGGTTTTGCTGGTGGAGGCGCGGTCAGCGGCTGTCGGCGCAGGAGCGGTGGTCCGGTCTTCATCTTCAGACAGAGCGGAGATGACGGTGGAGGCTGTGCACGAGGAGCAACTGGCAGCGGCGCGGGCACCTCCGGAGCAGCGGACAGGGCCGATGACATCGCTAGAGCATCAGGCGGCTCAAGGGACATCAGCGGAGCAGCAGGTGGCCATGAGGACGTCGCTGGACGGCGAAACACAGCGCAAGGGGAGAGACTGTATTGGCAACAGCTGCTGTAATGTTTCATCAGGTGGATTCAGAAAAGACTTCAGGATAAGTGGACATGTGGGTGAGTCTACAGCTAAAGACACGCTGAGTTTCAGTAGCTTAGAGCACCAGATGGAAAGCGGCTTAAAAACGGGCTACTCTGAAGCTGTCATACGTGCCATCAGTCCTGGGTTAAAACTAAGGAGCTATTTGGAAGGGAAAGAAGATCTCACATTGACCAGCCTGAGACAAGTTCTAAAAGCCCATTATGCAGAAACGGATGCAACAGTACTGTACCAGCAATTAACCAAAGCTACACAGGGGGCAAATGAAACACCACTTGAGTTCCTGATTAGAGTGCTGGATTTGCGTCAAAAAATCCTTTTCGCATCTGAGCGCACCCAGTCTAGCCTAAAGTATAACAAAGAACTTGTTCAAAGTCAATGTTTTCAGTCCATTAGAACGGGTCTTCTAAATGACAATGTCAGAGCAGAAATGAGAGCATATTTGCAGGATGAAAACTGTAGCGATGAACTCTTATTAATGAAAATGCAAACAGCCCAGTACAATGAAAGTGAGAGAGCATTAAAGGCAAAAGCCCACAGGTCATTTAGAACAGGACTAAATGTAGTTGAGCAGAATGTAGCGCTTACTGATCCCCGCACAAGCCAGCCTGACACAAAACTGGCTAAAACCCTCAAAGATAACTCCTTATTTGCAAAAATTGAGGAAAGTAACTCAGCAATTAGGGAACTCACAGGACAGGTAGCTTCACTAGTGCAAACTGTCCAACGAGATAGAAGTGGTGATGGTGGTAGACAAGTCAGGGCGTACAGAAAGGCAGCTCAGAGACCAAAAAGGCGATGCTCTGCATGTCAACAAGAAAACAGGGACTGTGACCATTGTTTCAAATGTGGCAGTGACTCTCACTGGGCAAAGGGATGTAAAGTAAGGGGAGCTCAGAAGCAGGAAAACTGGGCGGGGCTGTGACTGCGGGACAAGCCACAGCTTTACCACCAATGTCCCAATGTGATAACATTCCCAAGGCCCAAAGCTTATCCCTAGCATCACCAACTGACTCAGGAAATCCTAAAATTAGGAACCAACCCCCAAACGTGTTAAATTTAAGTACCAAAAAAAGAAAAGTAGCACAGCTCGTGCGCAGAAAGTGTCTAGTATGGTGTAGAATGAATAACTGCAAAACACAGGCACTGTGGGACACGGGAGCCCAAGTTTCAATAATGAGTGCATGCTGGAAATCAGACAATTTACCTCACTTAGAAGTTCACCCCATCAGCGATTTACTAAGTAAGGATGAACTTTTAGACTTGAGAGCTGTAAATGGATCTGAAGTCCCTTTCCAGGGTTGGGTAGAAGTTAGCCTTAGCCTTTGTGATTCGAGAGGAAAAGCTGTAGCTCAGAATGAGGTTCGGGTTCCAATCCTAGTAAGTCAGGATGTGATGCAAAAACCAATAATAGGGTTTAATGCTATTGAGGAACTGATAAAAAAAAGACACTACTCAGTCCAGTGAAAGCTTGTCTTTACTCAGAAACTCTCTAAGAGTAGGATCAAGCAAAGCAGAAGCACTGTTGAACCTTATCCACACCACCAGTAGCGAGATAGTTACTTATCCTATCAGATCAGGACGCAAAGCTATTGTCGTACCGAGTGGACAAATGTACGGCGTTAGTTGTTCCATCAAAACAGACCTAAAGGTAAAAAGTGAAATGCTTTTTGAGCCAGATGAAAACTTGTCTTTAGATGAGGGTCTGAAATCTAACTGCCAGTTGCTGTCTGTATCAGGCAGTACCCGCAAAGTCAATATCTATGTTACTAATGCTACCAAACATGACATTGTGCTGCCACCTAAAACCCTTCTAGGTAACATAGAGAGGGTAACACATAGTTATCCTGTAAATCTCAAAGAAGCTCAGATAGGCTCGATTGTAGAAAAAGACAATCAGAACCCACCTAGCTCAGCAGAAGAGCCTTGGGAACCACCTGTCAATTTGGGCCACCTTAACACAGAACAACAGGCAGTTGTCTTGGAAATGTTAAGGGAGGAGTCAGGCGCATTTGCTAAACACAAAGAGGAAGTTGGTTACATAAAAAATTTAAAAATGGATATCAAACTCACTGATCAGATTCCTGTAGCCAAATCCTATAATGCGGTCCCACGTGCTCTCTATGATGAAGTAAAAAGTCACATTCAGGACTTGTTAAAAAAAAGACTTTATTCACAAATCAACCTCACCATATGCCTCTCCAATAGTGTGTGTGAGGAGGCGGGATGGAGGCCTGAGACTGTGTGTTGATTATAGGGGCCTCAATAAAAAGACCATTCCAGACAGACACCCTATTCCACGAATACAGGAAATCCTTGATGGACTTGGCGGCAATAGGTGGTTTAGTGTGCTTGACCAAGGCAAAGCGTACTATCAAGGTGAAATCAGCGAAGACTCAAAATAATATACCGCCTTCACAACACCCTGGGGGCTGTATGAATGGAATAGAATCCCATTTGGACTCACCAATGCACCTGCAGCTTTCCAGCGGAACATGGAGGAAAGTTTGGAAGGCTTGAGGGACAAAATATGCACTCCATATTTAGATGATGTTTTGGTGTACAGTCAAACATTTGAACAGCATATTGAAGATTTGAGATCAGTTCTCAAACGTCAGCGGGCTTGGGGAGTAAAACTAAGACCTGATAAATGTGACTTGTTTAAAAATGAGGTCCGCTATGTGGGCAAAATCATTTCAGCAGACGGCTACAAAATGGATGACAAAGAGGTACAAGCAGTACGAGCTTTGAAGGACAACCCACCAACAAACATTAAAGAGCTGAGAAAGCTTTTAGGATTTTTAGGATACTACCGAAGCTATGTACAAGATTTTTCAAGACATGCAAAGTGCCTATATGATTTACTCTCAGTTGACCACACCCAAACACCAGCGCGGTCAGCCAAGGCGGGGCATGCTGCACCCACCCAAAAAATCATATGGAGTGACAGCCACCAAAAAGCACTAGACTATTTGGTGGATGTTTTGACTAATCCACCTGTGATGGCTTATCCTAAGTTTGAGGAACCCTTCATTCTGCACATCGATGCTTCAGAAGAAGGCCTTGGTGCAGTTTTGTATCAGAGGCAGGACAGTAAATTAAGAGTCATTGGATATGGGTCAAGAACATTAACACAAGCTGAGAGGAACTACAGGTGGCACTCAGGGAAACTTGAGTTTTTGGCACTAAAATGGGCTGTGACTGAGTGCTTTAGAGACTATTTGTTCTATGCTCCCTCAGTGACAGTGTACAGTGATAACAACCCTTTAACCTATGTTTTAGGCACAGCTAAACTGAATGCAACAGGGCACAGATGGGTTTCCGAGCTGGCTGATTTTAACATAACACTGAAATACCGACCCGGAAAAAGTAACGTTGATGCAGACTTTTTGTCCAGAACACCTTCTAGTATGGATTCATACATGTCAGAATGTACTGAGCTGTGTTCGCCTGAAGTGTTAAGCGCAGTACTGAATGCCATTGAAACACAGGAAGACAAACAACTGGATTGGATATCAGCCATAACATGCAATCCAGAAGTAAACAAAATACTTACAGAAAATCTGCCAGATGTGAGGATCACAACGCAGGAGCTATTGCAAGCTCAAAAGCAGGACCCTGCCATAGCTTATGTTCTTAACTTAAAGAGTACTGGTGCGAGTCTTGACAAGACATCAGCGCTCAAAACCCCTACAGGAAAACAGCTACTACACGAGTGGAAAAAGCTGTTTATCTCAGATGACGGGGTGCTGATACGAAAGACTGTGACTTACACTCAGATTGTGATTCCGGAATCGCACAAAGAACTGGTGTACAGACACCTTCACTGCGAAATGGGTCACTTGGGGGTGGACCGTGTGATGAATTTGGCAAGGAGTAGGTTTTATTGGCCGAATATGTACAAAGATATTGAGTTTTTCATCACACAGGTGTGCAAATGTAATATTCAGAAAAAACCTACAGTTCAGTGTAGGGCCCCCATGTGTCACGTGCCGGCTACTGCACCCTTTGAAATGGTTTCAATAGACTATGTCCATCTCGAAAAGAGCAGGGGAGGGTATGAGTATATTTTAGTGTTACAGGACAACTTCACCAAGTTTGCTCAAGCCTACCCTACACGCAACAAATCTGGCAAAACAGCAGCAGACAAAATTTTTAATGACTTTTCCTTGAAATTTGGTTTTCCTGGTAAATTACATCACGATCAAGGCAGAGAATTTGAAAACCATTTATTCAAACAGCTGCAGAAGTACACAGGAATAGCCAATTCAAAGACCACACCCTACCATCCACAGGGGAACCCAGTGGAAAGGTTTAATCGCACCTTGCTGTCAATGCTCCGGACCCTGGATGAGGAAAAGAAAGGAAACTGGAGTGACTATGTAAACAAAGTTGTGCATGCCTATAATTGCACAACTAGTGACTCGACAGGGTACTCGCCCTTTTATTTACTCTTTGGTAGACATCCACGTCTCCCTATTGATGTAATTTTTGGACTGAGTGAGACGAACAAATGCAAATCATATGTGGATTATGCTCACAAATGGCAACAACAAATGAAAGAAGCATATGACATTGCATCCAGAAACATTAAAAAGACTCTGGCAAGAGGGAAATCACATTATGACCTGAAGAGACAAAGTGCTGTACTCTCACCTTGGGGACAGGGTACTTGTCAGGAACATGTCAGAGAGGGGAGGCCCGGGAAAGTTACGCTCCTATTGGGAGGATCAAGTTCACATAGTGATCTCTCAAAAGGGGGAAAACAGCCCTGTTTATGAGGTTAAGCCGGAGCGTGGTGCTGGGCGAGGCCGTATCCTCCACCGCAACATGTTAATGCCCTGTAATGCATTACCGCTTCCCACAATAACAAGAACTGAACGAAGCCACACTACACAGACACAAAAACAAAGAGACCTACAAGACGCATCGAACCATATAGAGAGCTCAGATGATGAAGAACAGTATTGGTCTCAGAGAGTGAGGCACCACCACTGTCAGCCTCAAGGGGATTTAATGGTGTCTGCACCTGCTACTGAACTGGACCAGGACCTTCAGCGAAAGAGCACGGAGCTTAGAGTGGATGCTGAAGAGTTTCAAGTAGAAATGGTGAATGAACAAGGTAACGCTGAACATGACACCTCAGCATCATCAGACACTGTTGCTTCGCCAGGTCAGCCCAGTGAAATGAACCCAGAACTGTCGGAACCGCAGCCGAGAAGATCTCAGAGGGAGAGATGTCCACGGAAAATATTGACTTATGATGCGTTTGGCCAACCAGTTCAAAGAGCAATTGGTCACAGTGTTAACCCATTGTATGCCAGTGCAGCAGCACCGCCATTCTATGACCAGTTTGGAGTACCTTGGGCAGCTCTACAGATGCCTTACTATGCAGCTTATGTGCCAGTTAGTTATTATTGAACTGTGAAAGAGTTTTTTTGAATTTAAATGATGTTACTTTTCAAAAATGTATGGGGACTTACAAGGCCTTACCAATATGGTGACACAAGTATTTGATACTTTTGGGATGGTAGCGTAAGACATTGGATCGTTATGTTTGATGAGGTTAATTGTGATTAAATGGTTACTATCTAAGTTGATAAGCTCCGGAGCACGTGATAAAGTGATAGTAATGTCTTAGAGGGTAATAATTGTATGTGGACTGTTGGAAACAACTCAGCATTGTTATAAGCCGATGCTTATCTGGTAAGAGAGTAACATGTGATTCTGTCACCTGAGGTCCAATAGTGCATCATGAAAGTGATCTTAAAGCACTGCTAAATCCTATTCCGACTTACGCCATCTCTACGTTGTCACAAGGAAAAGAGAAGTATAGTTGTTTATTTTTGTTTCTTATTGTCATGTTTCCTCAATGTTGGGACAACATTTATTTAGCATGGGAGGAATGTAGCACTTGGTAAAGTGTAAAGCTAAAATATGTCCAAAACATTGCATAAATCTGTTGGTATTTGTGTTATTCAACTATATGTTTGGATTTTTGGCTGCTACATGTTTTTCCACCAGTAGGGGGCAGTCACGAAAAAAGAAAAACTATGTTCGAAAAAGGAAAAGAAGAAGAGTGTATTTTTGGGCTCTGTATGTGAAAGCCACGGTTCTGAAGTACCCAAATAAACTCGGTTCTGCTGTTTACACCAAGTTGTCCTGGAGTGGTGTAACACTCACACTGTACCAAATAAAATATGTTGCGTTCTTGGATAGTGGTCATGCTAGCTGCTAATGCTTTATTCCGTTTAAAAAACCAAAAACATAAATATATAAAAAGAAGAACATATGTGCTCATGTGGCTGATTGCGCTTTTGTTGTATTTGTGCTAAAGGTTTGGCAGGAAGCCTGTTCTCTTTGGTGCGATTGCCACACTTAGTATCTTCAGCCTTGCTTTGAAATTTGCTCAGTCCTGGGCCGTCTTCGCTGTGCTTTTCTTCATGGTTGGCATGGGTCAGCTCACCAGCTACATAGTTCTGTTTGTATTGGGTAAGTGTGTTCTCTTGTTTTCAGGATACTACTTTCCACTGGCTGCATGCTGTACTGCTGCTTTCTTAATCAAATCTCATTGAAAAATAAACCTTTTAATCAACAACTTCTGCCTCTCGGCCTGGGGCTCGGTCACTCTGGCACAACTGGCTGCCGGCGGAGCTCACAGGCACGTCACTGCAACCCCCCCCCTGGCTTCTGCTCCACGGCTGCTGAGTGACCCCTCATCTGGGGTTCTTCTCAGCTCTTTCTGGGACAGTGGCGCAGCTGCCCCTCTGTTGGTCTCTTGTGTTCTGGGGGCCTCTGGATGTCTGGAGTTTTGATCTCCTCCATACCTGCTTCATGCCCTGGTGGACGGGGCTGTGGCCCCCCACACCCTATAGCAGATCATTACATGAAGGAACCTTTTAAAAACAAGCGCGCTCATGCTCACAGGTGTACACACGGGTGCTCACACACACAAACTACACCCTTTTTGGCTCCTACCTCAAAGCACACTGTGTTCTGTTGATCTTATGTGCTGCACAATAATGTTTAATATTTAGTATTTACTGTTATATTCCCATAGATCATTGTGATGTTGTTTATTATGTTGCTCTTTTTTTTCTTCTGCTTGTTTTCTCTTTTTTCTTTCTCAACAGGTGATCCAGGTGATTGATATATGTATTGTCACGGTTCAGTATTTTGAGTTGTTATGTTTTGGTGTGTTTTTGCATTTTGGATTCTTTTCTTATTATGATGATAATGATGATTATGACTCTATGTTTCAGTTATTCTTGTTTAGGGATTAGTTCGTAGGTTTTTTGTTCTCATGTTTATTGCAGGTTTAGTTCAGTGTCTAGTCTGTCTCTCTGTGTCGTGTCTGCATCTTTGTTTAGTGGTGTCCTGTTTCCTGTTTTACTCTGAAGGTTCATGTTCCTGTCTTATGTCAGAGTTTCTAGCTTTGTTCCCCCTGTCTCATTAAGGTCTTATTCCTCCCAGCTGTGTTCCCCTTCTGTCTCTAATTCCTTGATGACTTCCTCAGTGTATTTAAGCCCAGTGTGTCTTTGTGTCAGTGTCAGATCGTCTGTTATCCTCATCTTGTATTTTCGTAGTTTCCCCTATGTGACACTGTGTTTCATAGCCTGCTTAGTTACTCTGTGTTTATAGTTTTTCCATAGTTCCTTCACAGAGTGTCTTAGCCTTTTTAGATTACACAGTGTTCTCTGTCTTCTTAGTTTTCCCAGTTTCAGTGTTCCCTAGTGTTTTTGTTATGCCTTCAGCCACGATAAAGGCTTGCCTTATTTTGGAAACCTAGTTCTGTCTCCACCGTGTCTGCTCTTGGGTCTACCTCATTCTTCACACCGGCGCACCCCGCCGTGACATGTATTTTTTGTCTGCTTATTTTGTTGGTTTTTGTTTTTTGCCCTTTATCCACGTCCCTCTTCCCCGCTGTTTTTCTTTCCCTCTTTCTTTCTCCCCTTTCTTTTCCCCAATCAAATCTGTCCCGTATTTAGCAAGTGAAAATAAAATAAACAATAAAAAGTGAATCAAATGGACCATTACGGCAAGGCTGGGATGGTCCATTTGGTAAAGTAAATCCGTTGGGCATCTTTCTTCGCCTTTAGACAATAATTCTGATGGCAAAAGAGCCAAACGGGACAGACAAAAACAAAAAACAAAAACAACTTCTGCCCTCTTGTGAAATTTCTCCACAGGTTCAGAGATCCTCGCTGGCTCATCTAGAGTTCTCTACGCCAGCATGTGTTTACCTTTCATGTATGTATTTGGTATGATGCTGCTTCCTGCTACTGCCTACTTGCTCAGAAACTGGAAACACCTGTCGCTGTTAATGGCCCTGCCTGGGCTGGCCAGCCTCCCCCTCTGGTGGTAAAATGACCTCACTACACTATCAAGATTTTTTTTTGCTGGTGACATTTTCATAGTTAGACTTAATGGAGAGTGTGCGATAGACAGAATGTTGAGGAATTTGTGTAAATGCGCTTCAGTGTAAAAAGTATTTTAGGTCATTTTCATTGCCTATCATGAGATTTTTCTTTCTGACCAAAAACATGTACGATTGTCCAACACTGATGCTTAACACCAACATTAAGCTAAATGTGTACCTTAGTGTCTGTTCGTCATCCATCCATCCATCCATCACTTTCTTCCACTCATCCAGATGTCCTTTTGCTTCCTTGTTGGGGGAACCTGAGACAAAAGAGATATGTAATCTCTCTAGGTCTCCTTCATGCTGGGCATGCCTAGAAGGCCATGTTAGATGCTCATTTCTGCAAAACTGGATTTTGCTGTATGAGATCATTAAAGGGGGCAAACCCTTTAAAGTTCAGAAAATGGGTTTGGTGTGTTTGTATTCTTACCCATTCTTTCAGTCACACTTGTTTTCATAGTTGAAGGTGCAAACATAGATAAACTGGTAAACCAAAGTCTTCTGGCTCCACTCTCTGTTCACTACAAAGACCTGACATAACACACATTTTACAAGTGAGCCCACACAAATGCACTTGTCCATCTCATAGTCCATGTTCCCATCACTTGTATTCTAGATTGAGAAATACCCAAAGAAAGCAATAGTTAGTTTGAAGACAAACAACCACCAAAATGGAACTGAAGCATGGTCTCAGTCATCCCAGCCACTTCACACTCGGTTGCAAATATTATAATGAATGTGACCTTCTGATCACATTATCTACCAACGGAGTGGACCCTCATTGCCCCAGCTCAGATCCTGATCATGAATACTGCAAACAGGATTGTAGACTCAAGACAAACCCGCTGACGTCTAGCACACATTCCTGCTCATTTATTTTCAGCATGGATGTTGTATTTCTACTGTGGATCAACTAAGCAAACACTAAATGCGTGTTTGAAGTGAAACTTTATACCTTTCTTTAGCGTGACTATGCCATCTACACCTATTTGGAGTAGATTTTCACTAATTTTACAGGTGTTCTTATTGTTCTGAGATAAATTCTGAACTTATATATTTCAACAGCAACTTAATGAATAATTAACACTGTCTCCGTCTACTCAGGTAGATGTGTTTTCACCTAAGTGATGACTTGACTGATGAACTGCAGACAATCTAGATTTGTGTCTGTCTGTCCACCAGGCTGATTCCAGAGTCTCCTCGCTGGCTAGTGTCTAAAGGCCGTTTGCAAGAAGCAGAACGCTTGTTAAGGTCAGCGGCTCTGGAGAACGGAGTGGAAGCTCCTCCTGTTATCTTCCTCTCTGCAAATGTAAGGGCTTCTGACATCAACTTTGTTCCACACTGTAAACTATTGTGGCCACTGCAATGACGTTTCTCTGTCACTGTAGGTTCAACAGTCTGATAGCAAGAAGGCTGAGACCCTCAATTTCCTGGACCTCCTAAAGGCCAAAAGCATTCGAAGTGTCACACTCATACTTTGGTTTCTCTGGTGAGTTGAACCTTCTCCTCTGCAGGTGCTCTCAGGAACTGATTTCTTGCTAACTACAGTATAGCATAATTGATAGTTTCATTATTCCGGAGCAAGAACATTAAAAGGAAGTAATCCATGTTTTAAAGGTTACTAGGGAGGACATTACTAGTGACTTCTGTGGCCGCCAACATCTCTTTGGACATGCTGACATCATCAGGATGTATTTTGAACCCTTTGAACAGTCAGTGACCTTTCCTTTAGTGCCATTCTCATGAAAACTTGATTTTTTTGCAGTTTTAGCTATTCCAGCCGACGGACCCTGCTATTGCTCATCCTGTAATGAAGCATCCATCATCCATCCAGTTGCCCCTCAAGAATTCACAAGACTCACTCCTCCTCCTACAGAATTGTTCAGAATTTAACTAAACTTACATATAATGAACATCTAATTCTGGGGTGTCAAACATAAGGCCTCAGAGCCAGAATTGGCACTGCAAAGACTACAATGTGGCCCATTGGATGACTTTATAAAATGTGAATGATGGCAGACATTTTGGACTTTTAACTGTATTTTAAGTTTTACAATTTTTCTCTACTGATAAGAGACACCCCCTGTTGTCATTCGTACAACACCCAAGTAATTAAGTAATAGGTAAACAATAACAATCAAAACATAGAGAAATTCCTGTTTTTTCAGAACTAGTACAGAACTGACCGAAAGAGGTGCTTCCCTGGTTCATCCCAGTTCAGATCAATGTGGCTGTATGTGGCCGTCCCTGATCTAATGGGTCTTCATGCAAATTGTTGTCAAGGTTCACATCACATTTGCTGTTTTAATAATCATAACCTGTGAATAGCGATAGATTGTGAGCTGGACAAGTTTCTACGTCACGTTTTGGTTTATTGATATATTCGATATTACAGCGTCTCAGTGATGCTAACAGGATTTAATTTCTCTCTCTCTTTTTTTTTTAAATTTGTTCTCTTGTTGTTTGCAGGCTTTCTACACATGTGACCTATTCTGGGTTGTCATTCAATATGTCTACACTCTATGGCAACCCCTTCCTGAATTACTTCTTGCTGTCAGCTGTTGAGCTACCAGCATACACTGTCAGCTGGCTAAGTGCATGCAGGCTTTCCCGCCGCCTGTCTTTTATCAGCTTCTCCCTGCTGGGGGCGCTAGCACTCTTCCTCATCCAGGTCACTCTGCACAGTGAGTGAGACCACTATAATCTAGTACTCCCCCGTTGCACTTTTCTCACTCTCTTTGTGAACATAATCATTAATTCATCTAAACAATAAATATTTTGAACCCATAATTGTTTGTCTGGCCAAGCCCCAGAGTAACTTTGATTTTCTTAAGAGCCTTTTTTGGTGAGAAGCAGGACTGGACAGGTCACAAGTTCATCTCTGGGCCAATATGCCAGTAGTGCTCGAAAACACTCTTCATCAGATAATACACAAAACTGACACACAGGTACACTGCAAGCCTTTAAAGGCTCTTATCTATATCAGATATTATGACATCAACATTTTGCCTAGCAACCACCAACTACTTGGCTAAAATGACCAAGTTATAGTGCATTTATACTCCTAGTACTCCTTCTAAAAGTGTGTGTACTATGATTTTCACTTCGCGACAATAACATGTCATTTATAGCTTCAAAAGCTTTATTATGCATGATAACCCCCAAAAAACAGACAAAAATCACAGATCAAACAATAGTATAGCATGGGCATTTATAAAATATGTGTAAAATATGCCTTAAATGTTTGCAACCTGCATGCTGCTGTTGGAAAATAACATATATAGAAAATCTGGCCTGGCATTTAAGAGAGGGAAGGCTCTTTGACTATTGGTTAGTGTTTCTAAATAATTTGTTTCCATCCTCAAAAGCTTACGCTCTTTCCCCTCCCTCCAGGCCATCCAGCTCTCACCCTGTTCCTGGTGCTGCTGGGTAAATTTGGTGTTCTGGTTGGCACGGGCATTTTGTACATGTTCACTGGAGAGCTCTCTCCCACAGTCATCAGAAATACAGTGATGTCATCCTGTGCCATGCTCTCCAGAGTGGGATCCTCTATTTCCCCATACCTACTGCAGCTGGGTGAGATATTTGGGTTCAGATTATCTTTAAGGGAAGTCTTGGTGTGTTGAAAATAAGTTAAAAAACAACAACAACCTTAATGCTTAGCTACCTGTCTCTAAACTTAGTAAACTGACCTGCAGGTTAGTGATGCAGTTTGTAGCAGACAAAGACTGACTTCACTAATCTTGTATAATCTGCTTTGGTCTTGTCCGCAGCTGTGTTCTACGAGTTCCTGCCGTGGATGCTTGTGGGTTCTCTCTCACTTGTCAGTGTCGTGCTCTGCTTTTTTCTTCCGGAGACCTTTAGAGAGCCGCTTCCCGACACCATCGATCAGATGCAAGCAATTCAGAGGTAAGTCTGTCCAACCTTATGACTGCTCTTACTGAGGGTTGTGTTCTGTTTTCAGGGGCATATTTGAAGCGCTAATGTTCTGTACATTACCACAATAGGTTTGTAAATGAAACAACTCAGATGCAGATGAAGTGCAGACTTTCATTTTTAATTCAATGGGCTGAACAAAGCATTGCAAATGTGAGGAACGAAAGCATTTTAACACAATCCTGCGATCATCCACCACTGTTTACCACTTTCTGTCTTTCTAGCAATTTCTCAGATGGGCGTTTTATCTACTTAATTGATAATGACATAATGAAATAGCCTTTGAGCAAAGGCTCCAATTACTTTTCGTCCCTTTAAAAAAGAGGGTAGCACCTGTTAAATAGCTGAAACCCTTAAACCCTTCACCCAATTTGAATGTGGATACCCATAAATGAAAGCTGAGAGTTTATACATTATGTCCATGTCTATTATATAACTATATTTGGAACATGTTTCAGAAAACAGTAAAAAAATAGAACTTGTCAGTGTCCAAATATATATGGACCTAGCAATATGTAGAAAATATTGGTGTTTTCCATATAAAACAAAAAAGGCAAAAAAAAAAAAAAAGCCACAAAGAATCAGCCGTACTGACGCAGCTCTTTTCATCTGCTTCCAGATTCAGGTGGCCATGTGCCTTCAAGCCACCCCAGAAGGATGACATGAAATCAGCTAAAGACCAAACGTCTCTGCCTGAGATCATCTGTTCAACGCGCTTTTAAGACTCGGACACAGAAATGAATGAAGCTGCCTTCACCAACGCTACCACCAACAACAGAATGTGAAACAAAAGACCTTAGTCCATTCTGACAAGATGGTTGTACTGTTTTCTGTCTCCATCATCTTCAAAGACTGTGAGAGAAACCGTAGAATCTCCAGCAATATAGCAGCTTCTCTCTCCACATTACAGAGCAAGGGGAGCTAATACACAATGAGTGTAATTTTTTTACCTTTTAAAAGCAAAGGGGGGAAAAGTTTACCACGATGAAGGTCTAGTTTAGCGTTTTTCCCTCCATCGTTTAAAACACCCGTGCCTTTGAGATAAACGTTATTGTCAGTCATATGAATGTGAATGTGTTTAAGAAATAAAGATCAGAAAATATACATTTCAGATGAAGATTTTTGTTGCTAGATTGCAATTTTTTGGTTCAGTCCTTGGTTCAGTCCAGCAGGACATATTATCAGAAAATGACATTAAAAACTGCTCAGACACAAATAGCAATTAGCCACTGGGTATGCACTCACCAGCCACTTTGTTAGGTACACCTGTTCAATTGTGCGTTAATGCAAATATCTAATCATCCAGTGATAAGACACCAACTCAGTGCATTTAAGCATGTATACATGGTCAAGACGGTCTTCTGACATTCAGACTGAGCTTCAGAACGGGGAAGAAAGGTGATTAAAGTGACTTTGAATCTGGTGTGTTGACTAGCTGGTCTGAGTATTTCAGAAATTTCTATTGTAGGTTCTCTGCCTTACAACATAAAGACCTTTGAGTTGGCTCCTATTTAAATTAAACTGAATTGAACAGTAATTGCTGATTTACTGGGATTTTCCTGCACCACCATCTCTTGGGCTTCTAGAAAATGGTCCAAAAGAGAGAAAATATCCAGTCAGCAGCAGTTCTCAGGGTGAAAATACCGTGTTGCTGCCAGAAGTCAGAAAAGAATAGCCAGGCTGCTTTGGGCTGATAGGAAGGCAACAGTAAATCACTTGTTACAACAGGGGTGTGCACAAAAATCACATTGAACCTTGAAGCAGATGGACTACAGCAGCAGAAAACCTGAACAAGTTCCATTCCTGTGAGCTGAACGTAAACGTATCTTCTGAATCCCAAAACATTTAGAAGATTGGGCTAGAATTTGGAGTAAACAACGTGACAGCAAAGACCCATCCTGTCTTATCTGAATGGTTCAGGCTTGGTAATTCCAAATAAGTGGGTTCAAATGGGAACTTTAAACTGTAACATTTGTGCAGTAATTTAGATGAATCATCTTCACTCCTCTTTCTTATGTTTTGGCAAAACAAAGTACCAAGAATAGAGCTTTTGCACAGCAGTTTTGACACTTCATATGTTTAATTACATTACTTTAGGCTCTGCATAGATCAGAACTGTCATTCAAGTCAACTGTAAGGCCAAACTGTTCAGCATCAGCTTCTAAACTATAACATATCTGCAACTGATGACATGAACTGTACTACAGCACAGCTCCATCTGTCCTCAGTGGCAGCCACAGCCACCAAATTGAAATAACCCGGCATGTATTCTTTAATAGAAACATGTTCCTGGTATCATAGAAACTCCACAACACCACAAATCAACAAACATTTACACAGAGACTCAAGACTTTACCCTTCCTCTTTTAATATGTAATAAGTGAAATGTGAATGCACCTGCTGTACGTGTTTTGTTCAGTTTTAATGAGTAACAGCAGTCACTTCAGCTTCTTATTTAACGACTCCGCAGCAACTCAAATCAATGAACTTTCACACAGTTTCACATAATGGTTAATTCAGAAGTTTGTTCTTCATTGTTCTCACATGTTTCCATGTGTTTGAAACTGTGTATTGTCTTTTAAAACATAAGGGACAAAGAGAAAATTAAGGATTCAAATTGTTTTGACTACAAAACAGGACTTTATCCTTCCTCTTTCAATATGTGAAACATACATTCACCTGTTTTCTTTGGTTTTAACTTGTTCTACATGTTTTTCTTTTTTTTTTTTTTAACTTATTCAGTTTCAAGGTTCTTTATCAAACTTTGTGTGGAAACTTGTTCCTCTTAAAAAATGTTTAACCCACAAATAAAGACTCCATGACAACTCAGATCAATGACCGTTTTATACAGTTTCACATAATGATTAGTTTAGGAGTTCCACATCAGTTTATCCGGGTTTCTGTGTGTTTGAAACTTTTTAACTAACATCCTTCAAAACATAAGAGCAAAGTGATCTTATGTTTATTTATCTAAAATGCTTTTGGATAAATAAGTTTGCCCTTTAATATGTAAATCATAAAGCCAGCTGTTTTTATGTTGTCCTTTAACATGCTTTACATGTTTTTTATAATGAGTAACAAGAGTCCTTTCCTGCCTTTGCAATCACCACAGTAAGAGCTGAATTTTTGGGCTACCTGGCAAAAAAAACATTGACTTAAAAAAAAAAAATCTAGCCTCAAACTGGATAAAACCTTCTCAAATTTCAAGGAAGCGCACTTGTGGGCTCCTATATGGGGGCTCCATTTTCCACCTCCAAAGGCTACCACTCTGTACACGGATGATTCTCTGAATGCGGTGCCCTTCAAATCCTCCAAACATACTTCAAAGATTCTCAGTTGCAGGAAACCTCAAAATGCATTTTAAAGCCATCAATCGGTAAAAACAAGCGCTTTCTCACTGTAAGATAAATATAAAAATAAATTCAATAAATTTCTTTAATTTGGAAAGAAATTAAAGAAACTTAATTTAACTGAACGTCAGATCTATACGAAATTTAATAACCACTGAAATTTTAGTGCTACTGTATTATTATGCATATTGTTTAACTCCACTATAAAATTCCAGTATTTGCATACCTCCAATTTGCTTTCAACTCTGTTAAGCCCTACCATTTACCCCCCCCCCCAGCCAAATAATGTCACAAGATTTTTGACATGAGCACAGAGGAAGTGACAACACCCTGCAAAAAAGTCAGCAAAAGCAGATGCCACTCTATTATCGTACCCATATCTTAAGTTTTCTATTGCCAGGCTGAGTTGATCCGTCTTAACGCTGCAACTGTTTTCACAGGACTCTTTGCAGTTCTGTGAAAAACCAAGCAAAACCTTAAACTGTTACAAAGGAGTTAAGAGTGTAAGCAGCAGCCAAGTGCAGCTAACAAAACACACTTGATTAACTGATCATAAGCAAATGTAAAAACCCCTGTAACAACAGAAGTTTTGGCAGTTTGCTGCCAAAACGTTGTTGCAATACTTTATAGTCCTCAGTCAGAATTTGAAATATTAAAGTCATGAGATTCAAAGTAGAAAAAGACAGAGTATGACTTGTTTGGAAGGGTTTCCATTAGAAAGCTACTTCTTAGACCTCTGGAATAATGTCCTGTGGAGTGACGAGACCAAAGTAGAGATGTTTAGTCCTAAAGCACACATCAATGCATAGTTTTGAGACAACACAAAGGTCGAGGTTAGATGAAGTTAGGATGACTTGCTTTGGCAGTCAAACAAAGCAGCTTAAAAATAAAGGAAAAGTGATGTTGTTGGGTTTTTGCTGAAGAACTAAGAACTCAGCTCCGTTCAGAGTGCTCAGAGTTTGAAAATGTTTGGAGGAGCTATTCTCCCATCTGCTCAAGGACCTTCCAGCTCTTCTTCTTTCAGCTGCTCACTTTAGGAGTCCCCACAGCAGATCATGTACCTCCCCCTGTTCCTATCATCGTCTTCTGTCACACCATCCACTTCACTTCTCTTGCATGAATTTTGTCCAATATATCCACTCTTCCCCCATGTCCAAACCACGGCAACCTTGCCTCTCTTCAAAACCGTTCAACTTCAACTATCCTTCTCTTATACTCTTCCTGATTATCCTCGTATTTGATCAGGGAAAGAATTAGATTTTTTTTTTTTAATACAACCCTCCCAGTTGGGCTTGGGACTGGCACTCGGAGTATGCTGGCTCATGACTCATGACTCATGTTGGCAGGTTACCTATCAGAACCAGGATGCCAGAAAACTTAGTGGGCATGACTGGCCATGACCTAACATTATTTCAGCTGCCAGCATGCCTTCACTCAGAAGTGGCAAGCCCTTGTATGCTTAAAGATGCAGGATTTCTGCAGAAAGGGAAATTAAAGGATGGAACAGACAGCATTTTGCACTTATTGTCAACAAATTGCATCAAAACACTGAAACTAACAACATTTTTCCATCTCTAAAGAAGCTAGTCTTTCTGTCTTGCAGCTCTAAATCCTTTGTTTCCCACTGAAGACAGACAACTACACTTAGACTGTTTGCTGTTTTATTCATTTATGATTTGTATTTTTTATTTTGATACCAAATAGCAAAGATGGGTTTCACCAGGTCCATTAATTCATAACAGGACAGAACCCTCACCAATTACATTGTAACATGTTGTTTCATGTTTGCTGAATGAATTCAGAGGGCTGTGTATATATTTAATATATGCTGTTTATATGCTGTATCATTTAATAAATCAGTATTAAGCCATTCCAAGTGCTCATTTTCAAAATGTAACAGACTGTCCACTAATTTAATCGTATATAAGTTATTTTTCATTGTTATTAGTCAATTTTAACATGTTGATTCATTCCAGAGTTGTCTTTCTTGTGTTGTTCCTCTGTGCTCTTCTTGTTTCCTTCTTTCCACAGAGGAAGCTGGCTAAAGTCTTGCCTCTCACCCTAATCTCGCTCCACCTCCTTGGCTCCACTTTCCTCTCCTCCAGCCCTTCAGTCTCTCTCCATCCCTCCTCTCCATCCTTCTCCACCCACCTTACACACACCTCACTCCTTCCTCCATTGTTTGGGGAACAATTATCAGATCCACAACAAAAGAGGGACCACCTCCAGGAAAGTTGAGTGAATGATTCTGATTTACTCGAGGAGACAAGAAACTGAATCTAAACACAACCGATCCTGTTCCCAAACTCAAAACAAAAAACTTTTCTTTGGAGTCTTTGAACTGCATTTTGTGTAGAGGCCAGACCCAGCTCAGGTCAGGCTGAAGGGGATTTGTTTGTCCACGTTGTTTGTCCAGGAATTGAGCAGCACAAACAAAATGAATTTTAAAAGATATTTGGCAGAATACAGCTTAAAATGTTTGAAGATAAAATCCACAAGCAACACTTAGTTAGCTAGCATTTATTCCAAACAAGGCTCATATATAAATATATTCATTGTTCACTGGAGAGTGAATGTTAGACAGAAAGCATTCAGGCTTTGGAAAAGAGTGCCATATAATAAACCTGTCCATTTACCAAATTCCCCACTCTCTCCATGTTGTTGATGGATTTTGGGAGTTGTTTTAATAATAAAATTTAATTTAAAAAATAAACATTTAGAGACTGGATTATCTATTTTCAAGCATCCAGACTTAAACTGCGACAACGGCATTGCCCAAGGGATGAATGTATGAAAATTCAAATGAGCAGGTGCATTCAGATGGAACAGTCTTTAACGCGCCAAAGTCCATCCATTTGCATTTGAGCTAGTCTGCCTCCTACGTGCTGTACCCAGCAGCACCCTCACCTAAACCAAACAGAGTGGACTCTTGATTAAAACAGTTGAATAATATTGAATTAAAAAACAAACATTACATAAAAACAGCAAACACACTTGTTGTAAGCATGATATTATTTGATGTCACCCAAACATGACAACAACATAATACTGCAATGGGAAATGGACTTAAACCAGTGCAGGATGCAAATGTTGTTACAAATGTTGTTAAAACTGAATAAGTAATAAAACACATACAGCAAGTTAAAGGACAACAAATACTTTTCATATATTAAGAGAGGCAGGGCAACGTTCCTCTGCATAAAAATGAGGTATTTGAACCCTTGTTCATGTTAAGAGGAATACATCTGCATTAAAGAATGAAGTTTATTAAAACGTGTCAAAGAGATGAGATGTGCTGTAGTATTTTAGTGTATGTCATCGGTTACAGATATGTTGCTCAAATTGGCCTCAGCATGACATGAAGCCCATGCTTTACTAATCACATTAAAGTGCTGTTCTTGTGCAGATTTCATTAATTGGAGTGAGGGCATGGCAACACTGAATTATAACCATAACTTTTTGTTATATATAACTATGTTACTCCAGAGGCTTTAAAGCAGCACTGTGTAAAACAGTCCCCCTGAAAGCTAACTGGTTTAGCTTAGCAGAGTGGTTTAACTCTCTCTGCCATTTTTTCCAACAGTAGAATCCGTCTGTTTTCTTTTGATTTGTGCAACATGAAATCAGACACTTGAATGAAGCTATTAAAAAATATTTTGACACAGGCATGATCAAATGAACAGCAATATGTGTTTGTAGGCGTTTTAATTTCCTGCTCTCTGTTGTTATTTTTACACATGAACTCAGGTTCAGGTGAATGAAGTCAGGACATCATCCTGAAGTTGCCCTTTCTCACACAGCAGAGAGTACACTCTGTTTGGTTTATGTCAGGGTGCTGCTGGGTACAGCACGTAGGAGGCAGACTAGCTCAAATGCAAATGGATGGACTCTGGTGGGTTAAAGACTGCTCCATCTGAATGCACCTGCTCATTTGAATTTTCATACACTCATCCACTGGGCAGTGCCGTTGTCAAAGTTCAAGTCAAAACAGATAACTCAGCCTCTAAAGGTTTATTTTTTTACATTTATTATTAAAATGCTTCCCAAAATCCATCAAGAATATGGGAAATAGACTAGTTCATTATATGGCACACTTTTCTAAAGCCTGAGTGCTTCCTGTCTAACATTCACTCTCCGATGAACACATTGGGAACAACTCTTCTCACCCAAGAATCATCATGGCAAGCAGACTGGAGCAGCCAGGGATCAAACCACCAACCTTCGTGATTAGTAGATGACCTGCTCTACTTCCTGAGCTACAGCCACCCTGAACTTTATATTCACAAGAACCTTAGCTATACTGTCACACACGTTCACTATGTTTAACCCCTTAATGCCTCATGTATCATATTTCATACATTTAATTTTTGTGAATTTTTGAGACACTATCTGAACAATGAATATATTCATATGTGAGCATGTGTGCTTGTTTGGAATAAATGTTAGCTAATTAAGTGTTACTTGTGGATTTTATCTTTAAACATTTTAAGCTGTATTTTGCCAAATATCTTTTAAAATGCATTCAGGTTTTGAAGCTGGAAGATAAAGTGTCCAGAGTTAGTAAATTCCACTAACTAATCATTAAAGAGGGAAGATTGTGTATGTTAATCAAACATCATGCAACATTTTTCTTATTTTATTTCTGTTATTTTCTTTTAAACTCATGTCATACATCTACCATTTTATTTTCTATTTGATAAAGAAATTCCTTGATACAGAACAAAAACAAAACTAGCCAGCCAAAATTAAGTTATGAACTTAATATTGTAATATATTTCTATAAAACTACTTGTTTAACTAGAAAACAAATAAAAATTATCATAAAAACAAAATCATTTGAGCTAGCTTATGCTAGCTCTTAGCATTAGCTAAATATAATTTAGCCACTTCTTGAAGTTGAAAAAAATCTATTTTGTTGCTCAAACATCTTATGAAATGATTTAATTGATAAATGTGAAAACATTTCAGTCATAGTTCATGGGTTTTAATGCACAACTGCATAAAATAGAGCTGCTGAGAGTTAACTTGCTCAACAGACTTCTCTGCAGTGTTTGCCTCCACTTTGCTAATCCATGTGTTTTTTGGTAACCCATCCATCCATCCATTTTCATCCGCTTTGTCCGGGGCCGGGTCGCGGGGGCAGCAGCCTAAGCAAAGAGGCCCAGACCTCCCTCTCCCCAGCCACCTCCTCCAGCTTATCCGGGGGAATACCAAGGCGTTCCCAGGCCAGCCGAGAGATATAATCTCTCCAGCGTGTCCTGGGTCTGCCCCGGGGCCTCCTCCCGGTGGGACATGCCTGGAACACCTCACCCAGGAGGCGCCCAGGGGGCATCCTTGTCAGATGCCCGAACCACCTCAGCTGGCTCCTTTCGATGTGGAGCAGCAGCTGCTCTACTCTGAGCCCCTCCCGGATGGCCGAACTTCTCACCCTATCTCTAAGGGAGAGGCCAGCCACCCTTCGGAGGAAGCTCATTTCTGCCGCTTGTATCCGCGATCTCGTTCTTTCGGTCACTACCCACAGCTCGTGGCCATAGGTGAGGGTAGGGACGTAGATCGACCGGTAAATTGAGAGCTTCGCTTTTACACTCAGCTCCCTCTTCACCACGACGGACCGGTGCAGCGTCCGCATTACTGCAGCTGCAGCCCCAATCCGTCTGTCGATCTCCGGCTCCCTTCTCCCATCACTCGCGAACAAGACCCCGAGATACTTGAACTCCTCCACTTGGGGCAGGAACTCATCCGCGACCCGGAGTGGGCACTCCACCCTTTTCCGGCTGAGAACCATGGCCTCAGATTTGGAGGTGCTGATCCTCATTCCCGCTGCTTCACACTCGGCTGCGAACCGCTCCAGTGCGAGCTGGAGGCCCTCACCCGATGAAGCCAACAGAACCACATCATCTGCAAAAATCAGAGATGAGATTCTAAGGCCACCAAAGTGAAAGCCCTCCGCCACTTGGCTGCGCCTAGAAATCCTGTCCATAAAAATTATGAACAGAACCGGAGACAAAGGGCAGCCCTGGCGGAGCCCATCACCCACCGGGAACGAGTCCGACTTATTGCCGGCAATGCGAACCAAGCTCTTGCAACGGTTGTATAGGGATCGAATGGCCCGTAGCAATGGGCCAGACACCCCATATTCCCGCAACACCTCCCACAGGACACCCCGAGGGACACGGTCGAATGCCTTCTCCA